GGGGGGGGGGGGGGGGGGGGGGGGGGGGGGGGAGAAATGGACTTTCAGACTTTCAGATTTTGTCAATGTAATTAGAATTAACTGTCTAAAGGAAAGAAATAATTTGGTGTAGCAATAAGGCATCAGGCTAGAAACTGAAAGACTGAATTCTAGTCCTGGCTTAGTACAAAGTCAGATAGGTGGTCTTGGGCTAGTTATTTCTTTCAGCTCTAAGAAGAAGGGAATGCCAATTCAGTTCTGAAAAACCTTGCCAAGAAAATTGCTGGGACTTGTCCAGGTAATCTCTAAGAATCAGACATGTTTGAAAGGAAGAAAAAAAATTCTATAAAGGGGAGGCTAAAGGTTTTTTGCTTTTGTTTTGGAACCATCCATGCTTTAGATATTAGAACACATATAAATTGTGATGTAACTGTACTTATAATGCAATGTTGCAACAGCCCAATTCTGTTATCCTATATTTAATATTTAATAATAAATGTGATTTTCCCCCTACCCAAAAAAATACTTGTTGTAATGTTTATGGACCCATGGTATTCTTTTACCAATGTTTGGAATTTAAAAAACAACAACTTTTAACTCAATGTCTATGGAGATTCTCAGTCATCCAGGTCATGTTTGTTGCAAAGGTGCTTTTTTTCATGAGGCAACTGGACTTTCTTGTTTTTCTTTGAAGGCAATTCACTCTTGGATGAAGGAAAGTCCAGTTGCCTCTTGAAAAAAGCACCTTTGGGACTTTTAACATGCACTTTCTTCTCCTGTTCTTAATTTTCTAAGAATTTTGTGAACTACATGAAAGTGAGATGAGAATAAATTCTCATTAAGTTAATACTCTTCTTTAGCCACTCAAAAATTCTGATTTTGAATGGATATATTAACATCTATTCTATCTTAACCTAACATCGTTGGTAAAAGTTATTGATTACCTGAGATTAATGTGCCTCTCATCTTTGAGAACCTGGATTATAGAACTCAGCTATTGTACTGAAATGTCCTGACTCTGGTTTCTTTCCTTCCTTATTTCCTCACTGACCACCTGTGATTGTCCTCTGCAGAGACAATCTCCCTGCAATGCAACTCTCTCTATTTGTGGTGATTCTGCTGGCCTACTTCACCACTCTGGCAGGGAATGGGGCTATTCTTCTAGCAACAGCGACAGATGCTCACCTCCAGACTACTAAGATGTTTATTTCTGTGTAATTTATCTTTTCCGGATGTCCCTTGTCCTACTGTCACTGTGCCAAAAATACTCCAGACCTTCTTGTCAGAGGACAAGAGAATATCGTTTATTGGTTGCATGCTGCAACACTTCTTCCTGATTTTTGTGGTGGGCACTGATTTTTTTTGCTTGCACTGATGGCTTATGACCCCTATGTGGTGATATGCAGCCCCCTACACTACACAAATCTTATAAGCAAGTGACTATGTACTCAACTGGCAGCTGGGACCTGGCTAAAAGGCTAAACAAATACTATGATTTTTACCCCACTGACCTTTGTGTTAGCTTCCTGTTGGCTCAAAAAGGTTAATCAATATTACTTATGACATCCCTCCAATTATGGCTTTTTTTTTTTTTTTGCTCTTTCACGTATCTCCCTGAGTTTGTCCTCCTCCTTGTGGCTGGCATTTTAGGGGTGGTGGTGGTTTTCTTGTTACCCTGATCTCTTATATCAATATAATTTCAGCTATCTTATGGATACACTTTGCTGAGGGTAGCAAAAAGCATTTTCCATTTGTGGTTCCCATTTTACTGTTGTTTGCCTCTTCTGTGGGACCACACTAGCACAGGGGTGGGATTCTAAAGGTTCACACCTATTTGTTGTTAATATTCTAAGCAGTTTGGAGAACCAGTTATTAGAAGAAATTACTGGCCTAATCCTGTAAGGAAGACAGGAAGGAAACATTCTGGTGTTGCTTACAGAAACTGCCTCTCCGTTAATCCTTTTTACATTCTTGGCAGGACTAGACTTCCTATCTCTGGAACTTCTCTGGTGTTTTTCCCCCCCTCCTTTGCTGGTACTTTGCTTGTGTGGAGTGACCATTCAAAGTTACAATGGCACTGAAAAAAGTGACTTATAACCATTTTTCACACTTATGACTTAGATTGCAGCATCCCCACAGTCATGAGAGGCCAGGCGAGGAGATGCGTGCTTCGATGTGAGTGATGTTGAGTTGGCCACACCCAGCCAGTCACATTAGCATCAAGCCATGCCCACCAACTAAGCCACACCCATAGAACTGGTTGTTAAAAAAATTGAATCCCACCCCTGCACAAGCAGCAGTTTCAACTCATTCAAAAACAAACAAACAAACAAACAAACAACCACTTATTTGTTAGATTTGCTTTCCACATTTCCTGTAGGAGCCGAAAGCAGTGTCAATAGTCCTCCCCCATCTCATTTTGCCAAACAAACCTTGTGAGGTGATTTGGGCTGTTTGCAAAGGTGGTATTCAGCAGGTTCTGATTTGCTCTGGAGAGAACCAGTAGCAGAAATTTTGAGTAGTTCAGAGACCCGGCAAATCCCACCTCTGACTGGAGATTTTACAGTATCCTTCCCCTGCCATGCCCACCAAGCCATGCCCACAGAACCAGTAGTAAAAAATTTTGAATCCCATCACTGGCTGTTTGGTCCATAAATACCAATATCCCTTATTTAAAAAAATCAATGGATAAATGCAAAATAATCCAGATATTTTTTTTAAATCAAGAAGGGCAGAAATATTGGGAGGTGATGGGGATTGGCTTCTTTTATCCATTTAGGAGGCATAGCAGAAATTGCAATTGTGCAAGCCACAGGATAATAGTTCAGAACATAATTGACTTTCTTTTATAATGGTTAACAATGTCCATACTCTGATACCATGAAAAAGGTATCATTTCCTTTGAAGACAATAATAGGTAAGATCTTATTTTATCATATTTGTGCCCTTTTCACAACTGGAGATTTAAAACCTATATACAGAAACCTATATACAGGATGCTTGATATGGATTAGAGCAGCACAATGGAAATAACCTTTTGAACAGACCTACTTCTAAACAAAATAAAAAAGTATAAAGTCTAGTTCTGCAAATGGGAGATGGATATCACGAATAATCCAACACTATTTGTACTTTCCTGGCAGGAAGTCCTTTTTTAATTTACTTTTTACAGATTAATAGTAGCGCAAAGTCACTCTTTCTAGTTTGATGCTGTTGTATTTTTAAAAAAATTCACCAGATTGAACTTCTGTTCCAATGAGACTCAAATCCAACTGGTACCAAATTCCTTGGAGACCTTGGAGTCCCTAAATAGATTCTTGGTCTTAATGCTGTCATTTGCATTTGTTAAAAAGGAAGAGGTAGCAAAGACTTTACTTTGATGATTGGAACAATGCTTACTAATTTGATTCCTGAGTAGCCATGTGTGCATTTGCTTGACTCCACATAAATTCTTTGTGCTGTAGTTCTTGTGTTGATACAGAGAGGAGAAACAAGAGAGGCAAGTGACTTCACTTTATTGGAAGAATAATTTTATATTGTTAGACATCTTCCATGTTCCGGTGCCCTCTTGATGTGCAGGATTTTCCTTATGACATATGGGGAAATATAGAGACTGCAGTCCAGTCCATCTGGAGGCCAACAGATGAAAATGACTGAGTCCATTTTGTCTGCAGTTCTATTCTTTAATGAATTACTTGTCCTGAGTCAATGTCAGAACAGAGTAAATTTTATCCATAGCACTGATTAAATAGCAACTGATGACTTTAGCACATTTTATTTTTTTCATTTTTAACCTCCAACTGCAAAATGGGAAAATTTAATTGAAGGCATTTTGGGGAAGGCTTAGTAACAGTTTGAAAATATAGTTTTTGCAATAATATTGCAAAAACAATAATATTGTTATTATTGACAAATTGAAACCTATTTAGCTTTATGTTTTTGAAAAAAGAAACACCCCTAAGTGATTTATATCTGCTAGTAATAGAGGTTTGGAAGGATAAAATGTTATTTGCAAATCCTAGGCTAGTAGGAGTTTCTTAAAAACTAATCTGCCCCTTCTGAAAAGTACCTTGCAGAATAACAAGAACAGCAATTTGACTCTTTTATTCATTTCTGAATTAAGAATTTGCATTAAATGGATTTCAAGGTTGAATATTTGCATTAAGATATTAGATTCATGGTATATACAAGTCTTTTTTTTATCAATGCTGTTTGGTAAATTTAGATAGTGACTAAAAGCTCTTCTAGACACAATGTTATAATTTAAAAATGATTTACTCTTCATCTCTTCCTCCTATGTTAATATTTTTATAGCACTATTTATACTGATTTTTATAATCTAAGTAATCATAGAAAAGGAAAAAGAAATAACATAAAGGGAATGAAGAACTTGAGATGATTCCAAACTCCTTCATGCTTGATATTGACTGTGAAAGGATGACGGGATCTGGACTACTAAAGCCTCCAAAGGCATCACCACTCATAATAATAGTTAATAAAATTTAAACCTTTGCCCCAATTATGAGGAGAAAGAGACACGATCTGACTACTAATATACTCCATTGTGGACTTCTCCCCAACATCCAATTCCCAACATCCCATTCCCAACTACCCTCTGTAGTCTGC